GCATATTGTTATTTTAATTATTGGAAACAAAACATAAAATACCCAAGATTGTACGGACAGAGCCAATCCCACGTCACTTCTCACGATCTTTTAAGGTAGCAATTACCACGAGGATAAAAACTGAAATTAGGACTGTAGAAGAATAATTACAGTAAGAGTAATTGTTAATTAAGAATGTCCACGATGGTAGAAAAAATGCAAACATTAGTTTTTAAAGATACTTAAATCACTGATAAATTTAATGATAAATTACTAGAAGAATTAAAATTAAAAAAATAAGAGAAAGAATAAAATAAATAATATTGATAATTTGGGGGTAATTTTACACTCCATTCTTGGAATGGTAATTTATGTCTTCCAGTAATTGAACCAGAAAGAGAGGCTTAGTTGATTTTTTAGTGCTTTAAAAGACTCATCACTCACACTTACAGCGAGATTCATCCAATCATTCTCATTGATAAATATATAAATAAAATCAAAGGAAGAGGCTACATGATTGTTTTTATTTTTACCTAAAAATATCTTTGGCTTGAAAAGAAAATATGCACGCACCGAGATGGTCGGTTTAGTTTCTTGTTTTTTTGTTAGCTGTGGCAATAAATGCGGGCCCTTACAAAACAATTTCTTGTGGATGTACTGTCTACTGTCTAGCCTGTAATTCGCCAGCTCAGCATGTACAGCCTATCTCAGCCTAGTGGTCACGCCACTGACCGAAAAGGAAAGTCGTACAGTCCCTTTCTCTCGTAACAATACGTACGCCGTGGAGTATAAGCTTGAAAATTAGACGTGTTTTCACTTGTAAACATTATTTAAAAGATTTTTTTTATTGATGTATGATTCAGACCGACTTGAATATGTTTTTGATTAATTTTATCATTTATAAAATTAATAATCATATAAATTTTAAATAATTATTATATTAACGATTATAAAGCTATAACTTAAAAAAATAAAAATTAATCTTAAACTCTTACTCTAACTTAAAAAAATAAAAATAAAAATTAATCTTAAACTCTTACTATTATCCATGCGACGTACTAAATGATTGATTTGCAGAGTAGCATAATATAATATATTTTACAGCGAAAGCGGAAAACATGATGCTTGAAGTTTTCACTATTGCAGAATAGATATTTTTAAGAAAGTGGAATTAACAAGAAGCCAACGACTATATATTCAAATTACTGAATATATTAAAATGCTTAGGTATTTCGTTGTAGCTACGCTGATTTTTTTTTCCTTTCTTTTTTTCAATTGCAATCTTCAATGGACAAGTTAATGACAAATATGTGAAAATTTGTCAAAGATGGGAAAATTAAAAAAGGTGACCCAGTATAAAATTCAAGGAAAAGGTTCGTCTTAGTCCTTTTACATTTTCTTTTTCCTTGAATGTCCTGCTAGTTTTTGTGATTTTAATTTTTATACAACTTTTTTTCATTTTTAAATTTTAGTTCATATAATTTTTTTCATTTTTAAATTTTAGTTCATAATTTAAGAGACAAGAGAGAAAATTATTAAATTTTGATTAAAAAAGAGCAAGTCATTAGTTAACACCAATTCTATCTATTAAATATATTAATTTTGATATTGACAAGCTAATCTCATAAATTAAAGTTTGATAAAAATTGTTTTGGATGTCAATATTATTTAAAAAAACATATTAAAACCAAGAAAAAAATTTTACTCGGTTTAATCATATGTTTTTGAATCTTTTATTTTGTTTTTCTTTTCAGGTTAATAAATTATTTTTTTATGCACCGAGGATATTTATTATAATAACCCTAAAGGGCATAGTGTGATGGCAAATAATTTGAATCTGTACAACAAGTTTTGAATTGGAGTTAGAACGTGTATTTCTTATAAAAGTTTAGGACAATTAGAGTTTTACTCGTTTATCTAAATTTATAAAATATATTTTTTAGGAAATGAGATTTTCTCAGATAAAAAAATATATTTATTATAACTTTCATATGAAAATAAATTAAATATATATAATAAAAAAAAAATTCTTTGATTTTTCTCCACTATAATAGTAGTTATAACATAGACAAACATCTGCAAACAACTCTTTACTTGTATTATTAAAAAAAAATAATAAATCATTTATCAGACAAGTATATCCCAGTCGGGAGGCTCTTAGTTGGGCTTTTTTAAGTGGGTCATGTATATTTAGTCGCATAAATTTATGCATTTAGTCTATTTTTTTAATTTAAATTATTATTATTATTTTTATTTTAAAAAAGATATCTATTATCATATATTTAAATAGAAAAATATATTCTCATTTTAATATATTTTCTTCTCATAGTTAAAAAAAATATATAAAAAATATTAAGTTAATAGAAAAACAATATAAAAAACACAAATCGCATTATGACATTAAACATGATTCTACCGGTAGGAGATAAAGTTGCCGACATGTGTGGACAATAATATTTAAATGTGCGGAGCATGTTAAATTCTGTAGGTTGATTAATTAATGCTCAGAATGGACAGATAAGTTTATTTTAAAATAAAATAAAATAAAACCTTTTGATTTACAAACAAAACATGGCCGATCAGAATCAGTCTGCACTGTACACTAAATTTTACAAGGCCAACCATCGCCTGTTTGCTTCCGGACAATGTACTTTCGTTTCGCCGGGCACCTTTATGTTAGGATGTCCTTTCGGAATAACAAAAGATATTTTTCTACGCGATCCTACGGGTCATTTTTTTATTTATTTTAAAAAAAGGTTTTATAATTAAAATTTATATTTATATAAAAATAATGATTTAAATTCTATAAAAAATAATTTTTACCATATTAATGATTTTTTATCTATTCATGTATTTTTTTTATTAGCACCATGTTTTTTAAATAAAAAATAACAACAATAAAAATAAAAATCCTTAAAAAATCCAGTTATCTAAAACAGGCAGGGAAAATACATCTCTCTAATCAAAATTCTATTTCCTTTTTAATATATTTATTTTTTATTTTAATATATATTTTTAATTAGAAACATTATTTTTTAATAAAAAAATTATAATAATCTCAAAATCAAGTTGTAACAAAGGAATATTAAAATACAAACTTCGTATTCTATATGTGAATGAAGAAAATAACTAATTAATGGGATTAAATTATCTATGAAAATATATTAGAAATAACAAAAATAAAAATTTGTTTTTGTTAGATATTCATGAGCATGTTTTTAATTTCTTTTGCTACTAGATGTATAATAATTAAAAATAATAATTATTAATGTTACTATAAACCTTTGATGTTGTTTAAAAATTGTGAAAAAATTAAATAATAATTTAAATTGTTAAATGAAATGCAGTATCTTGCTAAAATCTTTCCACTCTTCGAGTTTTTTTTTTTTTTTCAGGTTTAGGTTATAATTGACGTGGCTGAAATCGTTGGTTGTAGACTTGAAAAATGACGAATTATGTCAAGCTTAATATTAATTAAAATGATCAATTTTTACAATTTAAAGTTTAAGGAGGACACGTATTTTTAACACTCTAAACTGACGAATCTCGTCAAGTTAGCCAGTAATTATTTGACATCTTAGAACTAGTGCAGATGATCAGTAATAAAATTTGTTAAGTTCAAATGACAATTAGTGGTGTTTTGTCAACTTTCATATTAATCAATTAACGTGGTTACACTTGTCAGCCACGAGATACTTTAAAAAAAATAAGATGACCGAATTTTTTTAATATCTGATAATATCATGAAAAATATATTTAAATATTTAGTTATATTATAAAAAATAAGTTAAATACAAATTATTAATATTTTTTAAAAATTTATTAAAATAATGAATGAGAAATCTTACATATTAAAAAATTAAATGAAAATAAAATTTAAAATAAATCTAATTTTATAAATTATTTCAAATTAAATAAATAATAATTAAAATAACAGAAATCAAATTAAAAAATTAAAAATTTAAAAAATGATGAAATTTAAAAAAATAATAAATTATTTTAAATAAAATAAATAACAATCAAAATAATAATGATCAAATCTGTTAGATAAAAAATTTTAATTAAAAAATAATAAGATAAAAAAATAAAAATTATAAAAATAAAAATAAAAATTAAATCAAATTAAATTATAAGAGATAAATTTTTTTTAAAAAATTAAAATAAAATATATAACAATCAAAAGTTTAAAAATCAAATTTGATATTATTAATAAATAATATGATATTTTCAATTAAAATATTTTTTGTTTAAAATAAAAAATATTTTTAAAAAAATTATGTTAATTTGTTTGATTGAAAATTATTTTTGATTGGCTAATTTTTTAATGAAAAATAAATATATATTTTTTTTAAAATCATTTATAAAAAAATATTTTCCATGAAATAAATAATATTTTAAGATTGATGATGTAAAATTCTAGAAGACAATTTAGTAAATATGTAAAAAGATATTTTTTTTAAATGAAGATCTTAAATAAAATCTATTAATTAATAATTAAAATGCAGTAGAATTGTTAAAGACATACCGTTTGGTAAACTGACGTTTCCAAATTCCCAGCCACCAACGTAAGACGTTCGGTGACATGCGTATGAAATGACGTCACTGAAAAAATCATAGTATACCATACCAGTAGAATTAGTTTCTGTAGAAAATTACGATTAAAACAGCTGCGTCCCCCGAGAGCATATTTACATTTCAAAAGCTGTCACCTAAAAGCATTTAGAGTTGGTATTTCGCACAGTGGTGCAAGGAATTTTTTTAATATTTTTTTATTCTGAATTAATTTTTATGATATTTTTTTAAATTTGATATTAAAAATAAAAAATATTTAAAAAAACACAATTTTAAAAAATAAAATTGATAATGATTTTTTAAATAATGAAGATATATATATATATATATAGCTCCAACGCTAGAAATAATTTGGTGAACAGTAACCTGGACCTCCAGTAACAGGCAGTCCAAAATAATATGCCCATATTTTTTATAATTCTAACGTGCATTTGGACACCGTTTCCTGACTGAGCTAGATTTGGGTGAGAACTTCTTCTATTTATACCATTTCTTGCTTGCCATCTTTCTCCCCAGCGCTCTCTCTAGTTTTCTCAAAAGTCGCGAAGAAAAATAGAGGTGCATTTTTTCTTTAATGGGCACAATCAACAGAAATGGTGATGATCTCCATGATACCTTGTTACCAGATGATCCAGTCAACTACGATGTCGGTCAAGAAAATCAAGACCCGCTTGCATCTAGAGTCTGGACTGAGACAAAGAAGCTATGGGTAATCGTTGGGCCTGCTATCTTCAGCAGGGTGGCCACTTTCTCCATGAACATCATCACCCAAGCTTTCGCTGGCCATCTTGGTGATGTTGAACTTGCTGCAATCTCCATAGCCAATACTGTTATTGTTGGCTTCAATTTTGGACTGCTGGTATGCTATAGGAAATTTCGCTTTCAATCTTGCACCTTTTCCCTTTTTCCTTTCTATTGTCTAAACTTCTTAAGGTGGTTTTGAAAAAAAAACAGCTAGGAATGGCAAGCGCTTTAGAGACTTTATGTGGGCAAGCTTTTGGTGCAAAAAGATACCATATGTTGGGAATTTACATGCAAAGATCATGGATTGTTCTATTCTTCTGTTGTTTCTTGCTCTTGCCATTTTACGTTTTTGCCGCTCCACTTCTTAAATTCTTAGGCCAGCCCGATGACGTCGCAGAGCAGTCAGGATTGGTGGCTTTATGGTTGATACCGCTACACTTTAGCTTTGCATTTCAGTTCCCGTTGCAGAGGTTCTTACAGAGCCAGCTAAAGAATCAAGTGATAGCCTGGATTTCTTTGGCGAGTCTAGGGGTCAATGTGTTGACGAGTTGGCTCCTTGTTTATGTGCTTGATTTTGGAGTTATTGGTGCTGCAATTGCTTTGGATATATCTTGGTGGGTTATAGTTATTGGATTGTTCGTATATACTTCTTGTGGTTGGTGTCCTTCTACTTGGACTGGGTTTTCGGCACAAGCCTTTTCTGGCCTCTGGGAATTTGTCAAGCTATCTGCTGCTTCTGGAGTCATGCTTTGGTATCTTCTTCTCACCCTCAAAATTCCCTTGCTTCTGTCTAATTAAAGTGGATGTGGTTATAAAGAAAAATCTAATTAAAATGAAAGAAAGTAATCAATTAACTTTCAAAGGACTGTTTCTCTAAGAGAGATAAGGTAAGGTTAAAATACATGTTGTCAACAAATTGCAGCTGACTGGTATCGGTGTGTGCTCCCTTCAAGAAGCATGGAGTCCAAACATCTCTTGTGAAATAAAAAAGAAGAAGCATATTTTAATATTTAGAGGCGGCGGAAAAAGAAGGGATGAGGTTTAGTTCGTTGATGAACTAAGAATAGATTTATCAAATTCTCTTAATCTTTTTCTAATAGGTCGGTTCTTGCGTTGGATCCTTTGGTAGTTGCCAATGATCTTGGGCTTAAGTCTTGTTGGGCTTCTTCTTTGGAGAATGAACTAGTCAGATGCTTATATGTCTATTCATTAGCTAACCCATTTGTTTCCTTTTTCTTTTTCCACACGCTTCATTTCTTTTGCCATATCCTGTCATCAAATTATTGTTGATGTTGTTTTTTTTTTAAATGATTAGCCATATATGAACAGAGAATCTTGTATTGTATGATTTATTTGTTTGAGCAGCATTGCTCATAATTAAATAGAAAAAAGAAGAAAATAATAACTTGCTCTTTGTATCTGGCTTTGGTACGCAGCCTGGAGAATTGGTACTACAGAATACTAATATTAATGACAGGGTACTTGGAGAACGCAACGCTTGCTGTGGATGCCTTGTCAGTCTGGTAAGAGACTTGAACGATCGATGTTGTTTTTTAAGTGTTCTATCTCTTCTTAATTTCTCGGTATCATAAACCCTCTTTTACTTGCTACATTCTTATTGTGAAAGAATAACATGCGCGCCTCTGTAAAATACTTATTATGATCTCCACTTTAATTTGTATTTCTGATTGAAATTTGCAGCATGAGTATTAATGGGTGGGAGATCATGATTCCTTTGGCCTTCTTCGCAGCTACAGGGTAATTTCCTGATCTTTTGAACATAATTCAGTAATTATAAATTTTGAGGTTATAAAGAGAAGAAGATGCACTCCTTGTATTTGGGTTTGGGGTCAGTTAGACACAGTGCTATTTAAGCTATCACTTCAAGAAATGATTCGTATATTTCTGTCTTCTTGTTGAATTTACAACCATGAAAAGCTCGTCAAATTTGCAGAGTACGGGTGTCTAATGAGTTAGGAGCTGGAAATGGCAAGGGAGCAAAATTTGCAACTATAGTATCCGTGGTGCAATCATCTATAGTTGGACTTATATTTTGCGTAATTATCGTGTTACTACACGACAAGATTGCATTAATATTCACCTCTAGCTCCAGCGTTATCCAGGAGGTTGATAACCTCGCCTTTCTTCTGGCCATTACTATTCTTCTTAACAGCGTTCAACCAGTTTTATCAGGTAATTTTCAAACCCCTCGTCAATTATGACTCCCCCCACACAAAAAAATAAAATAAAAAGAATTGCTGACACATTACCTCAATTCCTGTCCTCTTTCTTTCTAATTCAAATTAATTACCAATTCCTTCACCATGGCAGGAGTTGCGGTAGGAGCAGGATGGCAAGCATTGGTTGCGTATGTAAACCTTGGCTGCTACTACATTATTGGGCTCCCACTTGGATTTCTAATGGGATGGGTCTTCAAGTTGGGTGTTAAGGTGAGTTAACTGCCTTCAATTAAATTTATTCCGATCAAAAAAGCTTTTTTTCAAGCAATATGGACTGAATATCTCAAGCCTTGAGTACCTTGCAAGGAGCGCTTACAACAATATGGATTTGAATATCTCAAGCAGTCATTTCATCAAATCTCGTTTTTCTCATCTGTGCAATCGAGAGATTGTTAATTCTTTGTTACTAATAGAAGTTTGTTTCTCGGACCGCTGTTGTGGGTATACCAGGGCATCTGGAGTGGGATGATTTTTGGTGGAACAGCCGTTCAAACGGTGATATTGGTCATCATAACCATGAGATCTGACTGGGATAACGAGGTAGGAAGCATTAACTGCCTTCTTTATTACAACTTCCAACTACAATGCATTATTGTTTCTCTTATGATCCTTAACTTGTCAATGCGTTGAATTTGAAGGCGGAAAAGGCACGCATTAATGTAAACAAGTGGTCGCAATCGAAGCCAGATGTTCAATGATAAAGAGACTCAATTTGATAACAGTCCTCGAGGGGTTTATTACGAAGAAGAGGTTTACACAGAAAATTCTTGGAGTAGAAAACTTTTATTATTTAAGCTACATTTCATTGTCTTTAGAGCGGTAAGGTGTTACCCTAATGGTAGCAACCGAGTTTCTTTGTAAGCACATGATTTTGTTTTTTCATTTTTGCATTTCTTACACGCTAAGCAAATTAATATTAATTTTACCAAAAATACAAATAAATTCATTCTTCCATGTTTCTCTTGTGCATATTGGGAATATCTGCATTTGTCTAGTAGAATCCTAGGTGCTTCCAGTCCTAATGAAGTCAAAGCATTAGATCCCTATTTAAAAAACACGGTGATACCAAGCCTGTTAAGGTACGTGAGTGATTAAGGTTGTTTTTTTATGTAAAAATAATATATTTTTTATTTTTAAAAATTAGTTTTGAGATTAAAAATATATATTTTTTTAAAAAAAATTAAATTTTTTTAGAGATGCAAATTGACTCCAGTTTTCAAACAATTTTTAAAATTGAAATCATTGCCTCAAAATACGTGATATATGCTAATCTCAGAAAAATATGAAATCCATGAAAAAAATCCTATCTCTTGCCTTTACTTCTTCACCAAATCCTCAAGGATTCTATATTGCCTTTTCTTTTTATGACTGGCGGTCTGCTTTAAAAATGTTACATAGGCTTCACACACACTGTTTAAAGCTTCTCAATGGACCAGAATGAAGAAGAATGCCAATCAAATGTGAATGATTTCAGAAATTCAATAGTGAAAGCGAAACGCAGTTTGCATTCATTCTTGTATGCTTGTTTGTTTTTGTATTTTAAAAATATTTTTGAAAAAATTAAATTTCGACCAACTCCCTGTACACATGTTTGCGTTCCATCTGTAATGGAGTTATTTCCAGCATAAAAATGCTGATGAGAATGTTGGAGAGATATAGGAGGTAGGCATGAAATAGTCTCAAATTCAACGAAATGATGAAATCTACAGTCCATGGGAGTAATGGGCTGATAGAACTTGAATTTGGACTCTGGAGAATCCAAGACAGGCAACAAATACAATAAATTCAGCAACATAGGATCCATGACAATTACACAACAGTAGCGAGTTGCTCTGACAATTATAATCATGGTTTCACAGGAAAAATGATTGTCCAGTTCTTGGGGCCATGATAGCTGGAAGATCATGAGATCATGTGGTAAAATTACCCACAAAATCCATGGTAACTTGGAGAAGAAAATACCCCACTATTTTCTAAAGTATAGGAATAGTAGTTTTATATTTTATCAGCTATATAAATAGACCGAAGAGCCTTCATCGTGTAAGAAGAGCCTTCATCGTGTAAGAAATGTTAGCTTGGGTGTATAGTATGGTAATTTTGTATATATTATGCAAGTTTTGAATATAGCACGTAATTTGTGTATTTTTTTATTGTTGATATTAATAAAAGTTAAGATTGGTTTCTATAATAATTTGTGTTTGTATATGTTGTATTTTCTACTTGTGTGTTTCACTTATTTTATAATAGAAAGAAGAGAGTATGAGAAAACCTACAGGTATATTTAATTGCTAGTCAAACACGAGTATATAAAAAGAAGGTAGCCTGAGGCTAGCGATTGGGCTGCTGCATAGAGGTTGAAAATTTTTGAAGTGAAATCAACCATGCGACGCCATTCATCTGCTGGTTAGCCTATAGGCTTCATCCTTCCATGTCCTTGATGGGAATTTTTAGATATCTATCATGTATTTATTAATTAATTCATTAACTTTTCCTTAAAAATTTAAATGCGGTAATGATTATTTTTAAAAATATATAAAAATAATATATTTTTAATATCAGAATATAAAAATGATCTGAAAATATAAAAAATATTAATTTAAAATTAAAAAATTAAATTTTTAAAAAATATTTTTAAAATTCTTTGCCACTCTAAAGAAAATAAATAAATAAATAATATGTGGTATTGTTGGATTTCAAAAAGCTATTAATATGAAATTCTGAAATTTATGTTTGAGAAAAAAAACATTGTTAATTTTTTTATACAGAATTGAATAAAAGAGGTGCATCTTAATTAGTTATAATTTGTCCCTACAATTATTTCTCGAGAAAAAAACAAAAAGAGGAGCCTTGTCCCTATTATATCCATGGAAAAAGAAACCATCTTCAACGTGACTGGAGCGGAGTAGGATCCAGATTGCAAGAAAAGTTCGCGAATGTAAACCAGGGCTGCGCTTATGGACGGGTCTTAACTCTTAAGGTATGTTTTCAAGTTCAGAAGCAATGGGCCGGCTGATGTGGCCCATGTTAGATTTTATGGTAGTTAGCTATTGCCCAGCCTGAGACCATGTTCATGACACTTTTGATCCGCATGGTCCTGAACCCACTCAATCTTGGAATGCCGTGTTTGATTTTCTGTTATCAAAATATTTTTAAAAAGTTTATCATTTTTTATTTTAAATAAATATATTTTAAATTATTTTTATATGTTGATATTAAAAATAATTTTTTAAAAATAAAAAAATATTATTTTAATATGTTTTAGAATACAAAACTCTTTAATAAATAATCATTATCATATTTTCCAAACAGAATTTAAATTTATGTTTATGTTATTAATAATTTGACAAACACAGAATTACTTTTTATCCTAAATCAAAATCCTCTCTCTTGTTTTTTCAATGTTCTAACACATTTTTATGCCAACTGCGTATATGTTGTCCAAAAAGTTACTAAAAAATAAAGAAGTGAAAAAAAATGTTTAGTTTATAAACATATTTTGCAATAAAAAAGAAAAAAAAACTAATATGCTGATATAATAGGTAGACCCCTGTAGCTAAACCTGCAGTGTCCTTCCGACCTGCTTCTGTTGCTGCTCAAAATGGTGTTTTACATCCAAAAACCACCGTCTCCGTCGCAAAATTTGCTTGTCATGGCAGAGAAGTTTAGACGGGCTTCCAGTGGTTTTTCGTTCGAGCAGGATAAACAAGTGCCTCCAGCTTCAACAACATAAGCCATTACAGATCCATGTACCTTCCTTCTAGCAACAAGTGCCTCCAGTTTTATTTAATATATTTTTAGTATTTTTTTTATTTTTATTAACATGAATAATCATTTAATTAAATAAAAAAATATTTTAAAAAATGAAGTTGCTAAATATAGCTAATTAAATATTTTAATTTTAATTTCTTAATCTGACTTAATTACTTAGATGTGTATATAAATATTTTGATTTATATATTGAGTTTTTTATATCAAAAAATACATTATAAAATATTCATATTTATTTTTTTAATAAAAAAATTATCCGCCTGTAACAAAAATATGGGCCCAATAACCAGTCTTAGCTATATGTCAAATGTGTTCATTGAAGTGGTTTAATTGGAAATTCTTGGTCCTTAGTTATCATAAATAGTAGTCGCTAAATTGAAAACTTCTTTACAATTAGATCATTGCATGTCAAAAACTTATAATCTGTACATGCGTCAAATAAATAAAAAGATGCATAGAATGATAATATGTAAATGAGATAATGTTCAGAATTAAGGTTTGTATATACATATATATATATATATAAACGGACCATAAACGTAAATGAGTAAAATATTTCCAATACCCATTCCCATACTCATTTGCCACCTTTACCTCCATGTGTCCTCAAGCCTATAAAATCAATGCCCAGATGCCCTTTCACTTGATTGCCATTTGCCAACCAAATCAACATATAACAGCAAATTTACTAACCATGATACTTCTTCTTATTTATACGTCCAGCAAACTCTCTCCCTCAGAAGCAAATAAGAACCCAGATTACATTGCATTTTTTTTCCTTTCGATGGGGAGTGTTGACACAGATAGTGAACGTAATCAAGCCTTGTATCTCCAAGATCAACATGATCAAGAAAACAAGGACGATCTTGCATCAAGAATCTGGGTTGAAACAAAGAAGCTATGGCAAATTGCAGGGCCTGCCATCTTCAGTCTTATGGCCATGTTCTCCATGAACATGATCACTCAATCTTTTGCTGGTCATCTTGGTGTTGTTGAGCTCGCCGCTATCTCCATATCGAATACCGTTATTGTTGGCTTCAATTATGGACTCCTGGTGCGATATTATTTGATTTTCATTTTCTATCTCCAAATTAAACTAACCAACTTCTTTTCTATTTTTCTTTTTTCCATTATATGCTCTAATCTTCTTTAGGGGATGTTTTCGCATTTTAGTTAGGAATGTCAAGTGCTTTGGGGACACTTTGTGGGCAAGCTTTTGGGGCTGAAAGATACCATATGTTGGGCATCTACATGCAAAGATCCTGGGTTGTTCTGTTTTTGTGTTGTTTCTTGCTTTCGCCATTTTACGTTTTTGCCACTCCACTTCTCAAACGTCTAGGTCAGGCTGATGAAGTGGCAAAGATGGCGGGAGCGGTGGCTTTATGGTTGATACCTTTGCACTTTAGCTTTGCATTTCTGTTCCCCTTGCGAACGTTCTTGCAGAGCCAGCTAAAGAATCGCGTGACTGCCTGGGTTTCCTTGGTGAGCTTGGGGATTAATGCCTTGACAAGTTGGCTCTTCGTTTACGAGCTCCATTTCGGGGTTGTTGGCGTGGCTATTGCTTTGGATATATCCTGGTGGGCTTTAACACTTGGGTTGTTCGTTTACTGTTCTTGTGGTCGGTGCCCTTCTACTTGGACTGGGTTTTCCGTCCAAGCCTTTTCTGGGCTATGGGAATTTGTCAAGCTCTCTGTCGCTTCTGGGGTCATGCTCTGGTATGGAGTCCTGCCTCCTCCACATTCCCTTTATTCTTGCCGAATACCTTAATCAGAATGACTTTTTTTCTTTTAAAAAATATCTTCCAAATCTTGATACGGTTATAATTTGTTAATATTTTTTTTAGAAAAAAAAAACACAGTGATATACATTATCGTTCTTGTTGAGCAAGGTCAATTACATGGAGCCTTATGTTTTGAGGGGTAGTCAAAATGGTTGGTGCGTGTTTGCATCCAGCTAAAAAAGTGAAGATCACTAATTCATCAGGTGGATATAGTTCGTGAACTGAAGCAACAAATTTCTTTTTTTACCCATTTATAATACATATTTGAGCAAAATATCATATACAAAGGCAAATAATATTGTTATTTTGTTTTTCCACGCTCTACCAAGAACGTTAACTAAGCAGCAAATTTAATACAGTTAAACCATGAATTTACATCTAGCTCTTATTTGCTGCAGCTTGGAGAATTG